ATTCACCCCTCCCCCATAAAACTCCAAATATATTAAATAAGCAACAACTAACGGTCGATGATTAACATTAAAGCCAAATCCAGTGAATTGCACGAGGGGGGCGTTAAATAGTATCTTTTATTCACCGAGGTAGGCCTTGATTGGCGTGCAAAGAATTCTTCCAATTACGTTCCGCAAGTTCTCGCTATGTCGTTAACTTTAGACGGGGGTCTCGGAGGGAATTTTCCACCCCCATGGGTTCCAACCCCTCGACATCGCCACGCAACCGGAAGGTCCACGGTGTCTTAGGGGTGGCCGGTCTCTGCCAAGCCCTGGGAAACCGGCGTGTCACGTGGTCCGATGTCAACACCGTCACGGGTGGCCTTTGAGGGTTGCAGGTGCAGCGGCACCCCCACGGGTCCACCCCTAAGGGGCACCTGCGTTTACGTCGCGTGCGTTGACAGGTGGGGCGCCGCCGTGCGTCTATTGATTGGCGCTCAGCTTCCCCGCCAATCCCCTCCAGATTTCCACATTCACATCGATTCCCCTCGCCCCTTCTTTTCCTAGCGTTCCCCGCTTTTTCTCCCCCATTCCGGCCCGGCGAGCGCTCCCTCTCTCTCGCACCCCCGGCCGCCGCGTCGGTCCGTCTCTCTCGCTCGCCTTTCCCTCGCGCCTCTCTGTAGCGACATTGCATTCTCTCGAATCCGACCAAACTCTCGAACATGCGAGCCGGCCTTCGGGAAAGTGCACCCTTATCTAGGGGGTTGCACTTTGCACGTGCGATTGCCCGCGGGCTTGACTGCGACTTGATCCGACGAGGAGAGCAATAACGAGGATTTGACGGAAAGTTTCGCACCTGGTTGAACTTCTTTTTTCTCTCCCCTGCTTTTCACACCCCACTCTCTGTACCTCCTCCTTCCTCCGCATATAATCTCCATCGCTTGCCGAATTCTCGGCTCCCTGGAATACCCATCGTTATTCTGAAGACTTGCTCCGTTCGCGAGCTTGACTGCAACTTAATTCGACAGGTAGGAAAAAAAGTGATTGAACCTGATTTGATTTTTTTAAATACGTTTCTACCTTCCTTTTGTACCTAGCTCTCTCCGTCATCCTATTCTCATTACTTAGGATTTCCACTCCATTCGACGGGGAGCAGTGGAGGATATATTTGCACCTGGTTGCAACATATCGTACATATTTTCATCCCCCTATTCCTGAATCTCTCCCTTTCATTCTCTTTCTACCTTCTTCGCTTAGGAATCTCCCTTTACCAAGACGTTCCCGAATTCGATCGAGTTCTCTCACTCGACGTCTACTGTCTGCACTTGCACCTGCATCGAAACAGGAACAGTGACGTCTGTCACGAGCACTCGCTCAGAAAAGGGCGTAACCGCGTTTCGACGCTCGAAAAAGTCTCGTCGAAGCTGCAAAAGCTTGCAATGTGGATCGGTAACGAGTGGCCGAGCGATTACTCGTCCGCATTCGGGAAGAGAGGCAGAGAGAGAGAGAGAGGGCTGCATGGAGCCCTCCACAGGAGTGACAGAGACAGCGAGGAGATTGTACAAACGAGGGTGTACCTCGCACTCGCCCACTCGATCGCCGTGTAATCGCGTTTCGCCCATCTGCAATGGAAATGACGTCTGCCGGCCGAGCGAGGGAGGAAATGAGAAATAAAAATCGTTGGTAAAAAGGGAAAAGGGGGGGTAAGGTCGGTAAGGTCGGCGCCGAGCTTAAACGCGGGATGAAAGCACAGAGGGTGGAGTGCACGTACACGGGGGTATATTAATAGGACGCAAGTTAGGAACGTCATTGCTCGTCGAGGTGTCCCCGTGCGTGTCGTGGATCAAAGAAACCTCCACAAGGCCTTCCAAGACGCGACCGAAGGGATAATAATGAAACCCCTGCACTCAGGGTATTATTCAAATCGATCGGGAATTTTGCCTCGCGAGTTTCCCCCGAATTCCGAATATCACTTTTGGAATTTCATTGAAGATTTTTTCGTTATTAAAAAGAAGACTCGCATTGTTTAGGAGTATTATCCATGATGTTTCCATTCGTACTGATTTCCTTTTATCGAGTATATGGGGTGTTGGACGTGGTCTGGGGGCGGAATTTGAGGTTAGGCTCGCGGTTTTCGTGCTTTCTTTTCACTTTTGGAATTTCATTCGAGATTTTTTGGTTATTAAAAAGAAGACTCGCATTGTTTAGGAGTATTATCCAGAATGGGATGATGTTTCCATTCGTACTGATTTCCTTTTATCGAGTATATGGGGTGTTGGACGTGGTCTGGGGGCGGAATTTGAGGTTAGGTTAGCGGTTTTCGTGCTTTCGACCGAGAGAGGCTCGTTACGAAAGCGGTACATTATCCGACGTGTGTTTCGGCGGGAGGGAATTGACTTTAACCGCTTTCCGAAGGCTGAGAGCTTTTTTTCGAGGGCCCCCCCACTTTTGGCGGGGGTCTGTGCATTAAACCGGGGGAGGCGGAAAGTTTCTATAATTTTGCCCAGTATACTCGGGGAGTTTTATCGCCCGTCGGGCTGCCGCCATATTTCCGGGCTGTTTTTCGCGGCTGTCGGGAAATTAGAATCAGCAAAGCACGGAAGATGAGCTTCCACCCTCGGACCCGGAAGTCCGTCCGGCCGGAAAAGAATTTTTAATCCGGGAAATTAGGAACGATAATAATTTAACGGGAAGCGCCGAGCCTCGGCGGGTTCGCGGGTTGGAATGGAAAAGAGAGAAGATGAAAAAGAGGGAAGGGAAAAAGAGTAACCCTCGATATATCATGATTACGCTTTTTTCCTCGGTTTTTGGGAGCTTCCTCGTGGCCGGCGCTTGCAGGGCCGTCTCGACAAAAACCTCGACCAACGGGGCGGATAGAGGGGGATGGTGTGCACTCTAATAACACCCTCGTTCCAAAATGGTGTATACAATTGATTTGCCATAACCGAGCGGTGCTCACGGTTAATTGACTTTTACCCGGCCGGATCGTTACTCCGGCACGAATCGCCGATTTCGCGGGAAACTGCTCTGAACCCTGCGACCCCGATCAATCGCTCGTCTTATCGTCCTTGAATTTCCCCTAACTACTCTCGATAACCCCCCTTGCGAAGTAGAAATATTCTCTGGGATTTTGTAAATTTTTCAGGAATTTTCTACCTCTAGGTTTATTAATAATTGGAGGGAAGTACCGGATCTATGTGCATCTACGCGAGTATTCCTTCAAGCTAAACGTTCGCGAAATGCAGTTATGGTTGCACGGAGTCGGCACGTCGAGCGGAGCTGCCTTATCGGGGGTAAGTTCGGGACGACTTAGGGGAAGTTCGGAAACGGATTTTCGAGCGGAGCTTCTGACCGAGTGGACTTTCCCCCCCAATCCGGATATCCGCTTCCGTCCGCATACATCTTGCGCATCTCCTGACTATTAATGCCGAAACGGATCGTCGTAATTACGAGAGATAGCGGACTGGACCGTGCGTCTAAAGGGAGACTTCGGTGCGGAACTATTACGCGTTGGTTGGTGCATGTGGGTCGCCGGTAAACATGCCGATGCAAAACGAGCCTGGGTACACCAACTGCAGAGGAGGGCCGTGTTTAGATTGAAATTCGCATCGGAGTAGCCTAATTTTGAGGGGAGCACCGGGAACCCAGAAACTCGGACGAGTCCGCTCTGTTATGTGCCGAGGGGCCCGTCGTGGCGTTGCTTAACAACAATAGAAGTGCAATTACACCTTGCTTGTTCCCAAGAAAGTTCCGCTTTCCATTAACGCACGCTGGGCAAGGCGGTCGCCGGCTGATCAGCGACCGACTTGTTCCCCTTCGTGGTGCTAGAATCAGAGAAAGTGGAAATGGTCGGACGGCGATCAGACTTCTTCACTTGGGAAGTCAAAGATAACTAATTTTTTTTTTTAACCGTGTGATACGGAATAGTAAATATTTTAATACAGTGTGATACGATGAAGGCGACGGTATAGGGATCATGAGGAATACCTAATGAAATTTTTTTTTTAACCGTGTAATACGGAATAGTAAATATTTTAATACAGTATGATACGATGAAGGCGACGGTATAGAAATCATGAGGAATATCTAATGAAATGTAAATACCTCGTGGAAGTGGAAACGGTCCATCCTTGATCGGACTCTTCGCTTACGAGCCATGCAGGATTTTTCCACTAGGGTGGCATTTTTTTTTTTAAACCGTGTAATACGGAATAGTAAATATTTTAATACAGTGTAATATCATGAAGGCGACGGTACAGGGATCACCAGGAATACCTAATGAAATGTAAATACCTCGTGAAAGTGGAAACGGTCCATCCTAGATCGGACACTTCGCTTACGAGCCATGCAGAGTTTTTCCACCAGGGTGGCATTTTTTTTTAAATCGTGTAATACGGAATAGTAAATATTTTAATATAGTGTAATACCGTGAAGTCGACGGTATAGGGATCACGAGGAATACCTAATGAAATGTAAATACCTCGTGAAAGTGGAAACGGTCCATCCTAGATCGGACACTTCGCTTACGAGCCATGCAGGGTTTTTCCACCAGGGTGGCTGACTATTCTCGCCTCGCATCGCTCTCATCGACTCTTCGCAGTGGAAATCTCCGTTTGGCAAAGCGGAATCGCTTCGGTCATAGAATCAAGACCCGACCACGGGAAGCCGTCATGTCGTTCCCCTTATTTCGCAGTCCGTGGAACTAATCGAATCGGTTTATCCCGCCAACGAGGCGTCACGTTCGCGCGGAAAGTTCGTTGTTTCGCCGGTGCGGTAAAGCAATTTCAGCAATCTCACTGATCGTCTCCGGAAGGGCCAGAAAAGAGGGGAATGGCGAGAGCGGGGACCATTGTATCGCAAAGCGAGGAGGTTTCGGGAAATAGTCCCCGACGGACTGGCCAGTGTAATTCGCACTTCCCAGCCAACACTCGGCGGTCCTGGCCTCGGTAATGAATTAACGCGATAACGAAAGTTCCCCTCGTTGGGCGGCGTTATATTAACGAGCGCGCCTCTGTTCGCAGGTGCCATTTTCGAGCAAGGCACCGACGAGGTCCAGTCGGCATTCAAGTTTGCGATGCTCAACCACAACCAAAACGGGACTGGTCGTCGATTCGAGCTACTCGCCTTCGTCGACGTCATCAACACTGCTGACGCCTTCAAGCTCTCCCGCCTGAGTAAGTGATCGATCGCTAATGATAACGATATTAATCCGATAAGGGTCGATCGACGAGTCCTCTTCACCGAGAAAAAGAATCCATCGACCCCGAGAAATAATTCATTAATTCGAGGAATAATTTTTTTTATTTTTTGCTTTTTTTTCTATATTATCTAATTTATCTATATTATCTAATTATCTAACCCAAATGAACTCGTATTAATTGGTCGCCACCTTTCTTCGGAATGATGACGATTTATTTGAATTGACAGGACATTTCTTTGGTGGAATGGATTTTCTTCTTCGTCGCGTGTAAATCGGTTTAAGGAAATTCGATTTTCCGATCTCTCGTGGACATTCGTCGTTACTGAATCCGGTCCTTTGTCTCTTAATCTTGAGGTCGTTTAGAAGATACGCGTGGGACGATTTAGTGAATTACGTTAACCGCCGGTAAATTTTTCGGGTGCGGGGCTTTTCCCGCGAGCTTTCGGCTTCCTCGGAAGAGCTTCGTCGAATTGTCCATCACGTCGGCCCTTGACGTGACAATTACGAAATCGGCTGTACCCCGGTATCTCACTTTGTCCGCCACGTCCTTTTACTTTTCCCTTTCTCCGATTGCATTGTTCCTGGGCCTTTATTTTTCTCCTCCTTTTGTCTCACCACTCGACCGACAAAAGACTCGCGTGTGCAAATGGGGATTCGGCTGAAACACATCCCTTTCCTCGAGAGATGCCGACATTTCGCCGGGAAGTCCTCGCACATTTCAGACCCCCGAATTTGCCTTAACCGGATTTAACTACTGCGCATGGAACGAAACAGAGGAACGAAATTAATTTCTAAATCCACGGGTCGCCGTAAATATTTCCCCTCCCTAGGGACGCTGATAACGAGATCCTGGACGTTTCGGAAAACTCGGCAAAGCCCTTTGCACGCGGGACTTGCCCCGTGGGGGGTCCTTTTTCCCGCGGAAAAGTTGCGGAGGATTCCCCGAAGGCCGAAAGGGAAAAATGTCCCGGTCGTAACGAAGAGAAATGCCCGAAAGCTCGTGAAGTTGTCCTTCACGGATTCGTCCGGCCCCGGCCCGCATATCAATCTCGGTTAACTGGATTTTCGTGGACGCCTAATATAAATCTATTACTTCCGGTCGCGCGGTGCGGATATTATGCCGGAAATGCGGACGAGATGGCGTCCCGGCCGGGCGAGAGACCGAAAACGTAATTAACGAGGGGGCGAGGAGTAATTTTTAATTTACTTCCTAATTTTTGTCCACCTCGGCAAGATGTCAGCCGAATCTGACTGTGATTAACGACGAGCACGTGCTTTTTCAAAATCCCTCGCGGTTTTATTTCAGGGCACGTCCAACAACTAAAATGGAACCTCGGGCATGAAACTGCTGGGGGAAAACTCGTCGACAGTTATTATCTAAATATTTATCAACGAATGATAAGGTATACCGGAAGTAAAATTGAACATTTCAAAGTGGAGTCTCCTCGCTTCTTCTTTCGACTTTCCGAAACGACCGAGTCATGGGGTCCTTGGGGTGCCAAAGGTTCGATTCTTCCTCTCCCCCGGAGAATAACTAAATGGGGTGTGTCGATATCGATAAGGAGCAGACGTTACCCCCGAAACGTGCCTAGGTCTCCATTTTAGGCGGCCCTCTAAAACCCTTAAGGCGGGTTGTGTAAATTTGGAATCAAGTTTGAGACATAAACAAAATTAACAGACTTATTGGAACTTCCGTGACATCTTGACTTTTGTTAGTAGCATTTCTCCTTTTTTACAAAAACCAGAGCTGTTAAAAATAAATAAACAAATTCCGAAAATTACCATTCTAACGTTTTCGAGGTTCTGGGGGGTTCTGAATTTTCCTACTGCCACAGAACCCATCAGAGTCGAGAAATCCAAATTTCCAGGATTTCGGAAGGTGTTTACCTTTTTGAACAATTCTGGTTTTTGTGCAAAAAATGCCACAAACAAAACTCAACATGACACAAACGTCTACATCACGGAAACATTTCAATAGGGCTGTTAATTTCATTTGTGCCTCAAACTGGATTTCAAGTTCACACAGCCCTTAAAGCATCGCAAAGGGACTGTCTTCGATTGACAAATTAAAGAAAAATAATTCTCAAATCGATAAGTAATTATTAATTGGCATGTCCCATCGATTTTAGAGAATTCAGGTGCTCGAGGACCAGAGCGGGATGTCCCCATGAAAAATATATGAAATCCTGGTATCCTTCTCGGGACTCTACCGGAAGAGTCTCCACTCTTCGAGAGGCGGCTCTTACAATAATCTACAATAATCGAAGCGATTCGAGAGCGACACTTATCCCTCGATTTTCGAAACGGCGGTGTCGGGTCGGATCTGCCGAGGTTTCGATTTTTTCGCGCCCTGGAGACCAACTAAATGGGGTGTGTCGATATCGATAAGGAGCAGACGTTCCCTCTAGTTCGCGCGTCCTTCTCCCTCCCTTGGCGTGGCCGCGGGTGCGAGTAGGACGGAGCGAGGGAGAGAATCGCGGCGCGTAATCGAGGACGCGCGCGAGCCCGGAAAGGAAACGACTCGAATCGACACACTCGATATCGCCCTCCCCGGGCACAATACTCGACGGCCTCGAGTCGTGTGAAAATAGTTCCTGCGGAATGCGAGGAATCGACATTCCGCCGACGAGCCGATTGCAAATAGCTGAGGCCGTCCCGCCCTTATTGCGCCTAACTCTTTCGCCTTTTTCATGGAATTCCTTCGAAATTCCATCCGCCAGTTTTCCCCGCGCATTTTGACACTTAAATCACCTCTGAAAGTGTCATAATAACCGTCGATAAAGTGCAATTGTTTTGCAAGGTCCTTCACCTCTTCGTCAGGGACATTCAAGATGGCGGCCGCGGCGCGACTTCAGCCGAGGTGAAAGAATCCCCTCTTTTGCGCTCGAAAAATGCTTAAAAGCGCGACTTAACGACGGAAATGGGCGGTTTGTGTACAGCTCGTTCCTTTTTGAGGCATATTCGTCGCCAGGGAAAGATGGGGTGGGCTCAGGAGAGAGAAAAGATCGAATCGCCGTGGAGATTTTGCGCTTAATGTAGACGGCGCACTCGAGCGTCCCCGCGGTCCTTTGTGGGCCGCTCGGGTTGCCATGGCGATCGCAGCGCCACGCTACGCTGCGCGGCCGCACACATGGGTGGCGCCACGTGTGGGTCTGCTCGACGTCGTGGCGGAGCAAAAACCCACATTAATGCCAGAAGTTGAGCTCAAAAGGGCCACCGTAACTAGCCGGCGAGCATTATCTCGGATATCGTTGGTCGGCTTCCGCGGCAGCAGCCAGAGAACGCTAAATGCATTAAATGTACGAAGAAAAGCACTCGTTCTTGATTTAATGCGCGCTGCTAAAAGACGTCATTTTGGACAGGATTTATTCCCGATTAAGGGGGAAAAAAAAAACCCTCGAAAAAGTGGAAACGATGGAGACTTTCGTTCGCAATAAATATTACCATTACGAGCTATTTACAATTTTTCACGGGAATTTACGGCTCGGACGCTTGCAAAATGGAACTGAGACACTTTGATGGGTTGCGCGGGTCTCCGCGCGGCGGCGCCACGCGTCCAGGTATGTACACCAGGTACGGAGGGCACTTGCCAGGTCGGATGACGGAGTAAAAAGGTACGAGGGAATTTAACGCGGGAAGTTACGCGCATTAAAGTGCGCCGTAAACCGGAGGACCGATCGTTAATTCTCGGCGATGTATCGATAAAAATTCGACCATTCTCCGCGGAGGCCTAATTGAATCGTCGAGCGCTGGGGAGGTGTCTTAGAGGCTCCGTAAACTTGTCTCTAGCATCTTTCTAGGTTATGTCGGAGGACTGAAATTTCTAAAAAGTGCAAGAGACGGAAGAGGGGAAGCACAGTCGAGATCGAACCGTAAACGCTCCCGGTGATTTCGCGCTTAATGCAGATGGCGCTCTCGAGGCGCCCTCGTAGTTCGCGACGCCGCCGCACACGAGGCGCCACTTCTGCGCGCACATGCACGTAGACTCCAGGAGTACGTGGAAAACCCCACTGGATAACAGCGGTAAAAACATACGAGGGACATTAATGCGAGAAGTTATGCTCAAAAGGAGCGTCGTAAATAGCTGGCGCGCATTATCTCGGCGTCCCGATCGGCCGTGACGGCGAATCGAGAGCTCGCGCGAATATGTATCCACGTATACCTGCGTACATCCCCAAGTACGTGTACACGTGCACGTACATACTCTCCCGGGGTGTATCGAGCCGGGCGTTGGGAATTTCCATGCAGAAACGATCGCCCTTCGGCGATCCCATCATGATACGTCCTTCAAGAAGCATAACCGGAGATTTATTTCGAATTTCCGGGGAATTCCTCTAACGGGGTCTCCCCTTTCCGGCGAGACCCACCCCTGTAAAAGCAGCCCTAACTGCCGATTATATTTTTATCCCCCTGCTCTCGTTACGAAAAGGAATCCGTTCGATCGCGTCGATTCATTTCTTCGGGGATGAATTTTCATTAGTTTTCATTTTTTTTTCTTTTTTTCTTATAGGGTGACGAGGAGGATTTTCTTTTTTTCAGGCTCCTCGACGAAGGTCCAATCGGGATGAGTCTAGGACTGCTTTCGATTACAGCTGAGAGATTAATGCCGGATAAAGTACTCGGGTGTGCGCCTCCGGTTGATCGAACGATCGGTTATTTTATGGCCGTGTGGATTAAACCGTTCGATTCGCGAAGCACCCTCGATTATAGCCGTTTATTCGGCTGGAACGTGAACTCTCCTCGACTTGTATGGAAATATGATATCCATCCGCGGATATCATATCCGACGATGAAGGCGGCCCGTGTCATCGGAGAATTCCAGGGCGAAGGGAAGAACTCGGCCTGGAACTCCTCGACGAGAGCACTTTTCTCTCCCGGTGTACCGGAAAAAAATCTCATATCGAATTGGCCCCCGCAAAGTATGAGGAATTCAATTTGAAGTTTGCTGGAAGCATCCAGGAGTTCAAACAAAAG